CGGGTGGGGGCTGAGCACGACAAGGTTTTCCTTCGGTTTTGCAATCTCCCACACCCCCTGTTCTTTGAAGTTCTTACTCGCATCAACCCGCATATCCAGCGGTCGCCCACAAACTTCAGATTGCCAATACCCGCAGGACAAAAGTTTGCATACGCTCTGATAAGATGGGCTACAGGTGGTTATTACAGGCAGTCCTCCCACAATTTGGCCATCGACCTCGCGAGCGTTTTGCAACAACGAGGAAGTGGCCGACGTGATCATCCGGGAGTATGGCCACCTGCTACGGTTCCCTACAGGGCAACGGTTGAGGACATGCAGAATGGCTTCGAGAGAAAAGGGTTTCCCGAGTGTGTGGGCGCGATAGATTGCACACATTTGTATATTGACAAGCCGAAGGGCGAGCGATCAGAGTGCTATTACCACCACACTTGGGGGTTCTCGGTTGTGGCGCAAGTCGTGTGCGACCACGAGTGTCGGACTGTGAGTGTTTTGTAGGTTGTACAGGGTCTGTGCATGATTCAAGAGCTTTGCGCGTCTCGCCACTGTTCGTAAATGCTACGCAGGGTAGAGGAGTGTTGGCTGAGGGAGGTGCCGTGCTGCACGGCGATAGACATGTTGGCTGCTAATTGCTGGGTGATCAAGGGTACCCTCTTCTTCCATGGCTCACGACTCATTTTGGTCGGTTCGCTGTAACGGCGACGGACGTTCGATTTGAGCCACAGTGCAGTGAGGTCGTACATTGAGCGGAATTTCGATCGTCTGAAGGCGGTTTGGAGGAACTTCATTCGAAGACACATTTGCAAACTGAAGACCGTCTGCAAAGAAAGAATTCATGGCCATCTGCATTTTTCACAACCTCGTGATTGAGCACAACGTGCACAACAACGATGCAGACGACGACCAACGCGGCAACCGTTGCCTATGCCGACGCCGATGTCGATTCAACCACCATCTTCCGAACTTGAACATCGACGTGCCGGTTGAGGATGACCCCACTTATGGGGGGGAACTCGCGCACCACGTCAAGGCCAGCCTGGTGGAGCATGTGCGCCACCACGTGGTTGAGGATGACCCCACTTATGGGGGGGAACTCGCGCACCACGTCAAGGCCAGCCTGGTGGAGCATGTGCGCCACCACGTGGCAGTCCACGGGGCTCCTCCGCCATGCCCATGGTGGTAGCGCTCTTCTTTCGTTTTTCTGTGGTTGTGTGGGACAACCCCTTTCGGGACAGCCGAGGTTTTGACGAAGACGTTAAGGCAGATGAAGGTCGATAGCAGGACGGGGGTATGGGCGAAGAAGTTTAGTGTCAGTGTTGGCGGTCGTTAGTAGATACTGTTGGGTTGAGCGGAGCATCATGTTTCCTTGCACCGACCAGATAGTTGGGTTACAATGGTGCGGTTTTGTGGCAATGTACAAACATTTATTCGTTCATGTACTTAAAGAAAGTTTAAATCGAGATGTCTTTTGTTCGTTGTCGGAGAACGCACAGTCGTGTTTTTTTTCCTTCGTCTGTTTACTGTTTCACACTCTGCAAAGCACTTTGAGGCAAACATTTTAACCACGCCAATTCCCCACTCCCCAAATTTGTCGTACATCGACCCAACAAATAATTACATCCAATACAGGCAATGAATGTAGTGAAGTGTGACATGGAAAAACGGAACACATACATTTCGAGGGGCCTACGTATTTAAAGCCATTGACAAGTAAATTATTGAACAACAAACTCACTTCAAATAATGAACGACTGACGTAATGAAGTTGCATTTAACATCCCCCCGACCCTGTCCGAGTAACACGTTCATTTTTTGTGCTCGGACATTTCGGTTGATGAATTTGGGTATGATAAACGATATCCGAACATATTGCATGTCCACAAATTATGCCGAATTGCACCATTCCATCGTCAACAACATCACACCCAAAATTTGACCAAACGTGAACAAAAAAAAAAAGAAGGGAAGGAGGTGAGAGACCTGAAAAATTAAGAAAAAAAAAAACGAGAGAAAAAAAAAAGAACAACATGTGTCAGTCTCAAACAAGCACAAAAGAAATCCATGAAAACGGGTGACTCGATTTGGACACGGAATGAGACAAAGTTTGACGATGCTACAAAAAGGCATCTGTTGCAAAGCTTGAATAACGTCTGGATGGCCATTCATCAATTCCTCCATTGGAAGTATTCAATCATCATCATTGTCACCATCATTATCATTATCATCACCATCACCATCATCATCATCATCATCTTCATTATCATTATCATTATCATCATCATCATCATCATCATCATCATCATCACCATCATCATCATCATCTTAATCGTAGCCGTCGTCGCCACCGTGAAGATGAGATTCACCATCATCACAACCGTCATCATCGCAATTCAGCTATACCCGCATATAAACATCGAAAACATGACCGCCATCATGAACATCATCATCATCTCAAAGGCGATGATGAAGGAACAACTATCTCTCATGCTTTCCAAGTACTCTCTCTCTCTCTCTCTCTCTCTCTCTCTCTCTCGCGCGCGCGCGCGCGCGTGCGCGCTCTCTCGACAACTATTTCTCATGCTTTCCAAATACTCTCTCTCTCTCTCTCTCTCTCTCCCTCTCTCTCTCGCGCGCGCTCTCTCTCTCTCTCTCTCGACAACTACCAGAAGCGTGAAGAAAGTCATGCAAACCCCGAACACAAGCATGACCGACGTTGATGGCGCATCTGTTGAACACAACGACCATCTTCTGTCGGCATAACAATTGCCGGGTACTCAAGACCTCACCTCCCCGTGCAAATATTGCCTGCCCACCAATGGCGGATCAAGAATGCACCTCCAAAACGGGATCGGATCTAGGCGGTCTGCATACACATCAGCAAGGGTGGAGACATAAAGAAGCACGATCTCCCCGAGCACATCAACGGGATGACCGCCCCATTGATTGGGCATCATATCCCTAACCTTCGTCACGTAGATCAGCACATGGCCTAGATCATTCCCGAAGAACCCCAAGCCAACCTCCATCTTCATAGTGGGTGCCCCATCCACATCAACTTCTTAGAAACAGATGGACTTACGTGTCACGCCATCTGCAAAATCGAACTCCCTGGTCCGGTACCCGTCTCATTGGTTGTGCATCTTGTACACCATCACGCCTTTGCTAGAGATGATACCGCGACAGAACACACGAACATCTCTCTCTCTCTCTCTCTCTCTCTCTCTCTCTCTCTCTCGGCATACTCCTCCCCCGCTCCCTTTCGCAGAATGGGGCCGCCTGATTCGTCAGCCAGTACGTGCCGAACTGCACACCTGAACACACCCAACTCTGAAAAACGACAGCAAACAGCAGTGGACAGACATCGCATCGGCATGGTACTCTATCTTTCGACTGAACTGCGACCATAACCGATGAGTCCGTCGACTGTTTGCACCTGAACGCCCAAACTCTTTCAACCCTTTCTGTTGTTTTTTATTTCTTCTGTTTGTGCATATTTAAGTTTTATATATTTTTCCTTATATCATGTCCGGAGTCATGAATCTTTCCTTGATAGGTAAACGGATGGCAGTCCACATCTCCCCGTTGGTGGCAGTCGACCATCAGGAGGCGCATATATATATATATATATATATATGTATATATATATCGTCAAATAGAACTGCCCGGTATATATACATATATATATATATATATATATATATATACGACTCTCTCTCTCTCTCTCTCTATATATATATATATACATATCGTCACAAACAGAACTGCTCGGTAAACTGTTGGCAGAGAGAGAGAAGAGGACAACAAACGAGGGGCTGTGACAAACTGTTTCGTCGAAGTTTCACCGACTCATCAGGAGGCTGAACCCTCAACAGTCTGCAGAATCCCCTCACTGATTACACTGTAAATGATAATCTACCTTAACCAAAATCAAAGTAGACTATCACTCACCCACACCAGATGGAAAACTCTACAGACTGTCGGTTCACACCCCATCACAAGCCAGCAAAACATCCACGAAACAAAGAAAGGTCTGTCACAGCCAAAAAATACACTCCAGACACGCCGTTGGCACTAGAGGCACAGCATGGCCGCCTAGTAACGGCCCCGACCACTGCCGCTCGACCTGACCGGAAAAAAACGTAGTAGAAAGCTAGCGAAGTTGTAGCATATATCGTCACAAACAGAACTGCCCGGTAAACTGTTGGCAGAGAGAGAGAAGAGGACAACAAACGAGGGGCTGTGACAAACTGTTTCGTCGGAGTTTCACCGACTCATCAGGAGGCTGAACCCTCGACAGTCTGAAGAAACCCCTCACTGATTACACTGTAAATGATAATCTACCTTAACCAAAATCAAAGTAGACTATCACTCACCCACACCAGATATATATCGTCAAACAGAACTGCCCGGTAAACCGTGGGCAGACAGGAAGAAGCAGGGAACGTGGTCGAAGCAATTCGGCCACTTTTCCTTTATATGTATGCATATATACATATGCATGCGCCTCTTGTCGGTCGGTTGCCACCGACGGGGATATGCGAACGACCATTCATTTACTTCCCAAGGAAAGATCCATGATATATATATATACGCACAAAGTTATCAAAGCGCAAACGAGAAGAAATCAAACGAAACAAAAAACTAATCACCTTCGCCGTCGTCACCTCCGTTGGCCCCCTTTCGAGCGAGAACCCCCACTAAGCAACTGCAAAACACTGCTTCCACCCCGCATTGCTTCGGCCACTTCCCCTATCCGAGCAGCGATTGCACTGCCTACGTCTGCGGTATCTTTGGCAAGGGCGGTGGCCGCTTTGTCCAGGCCATCGCAGTAAGATCGAGTTGAATCCTCCATGGCCCTACCCAAAGTTGAGATGCTGTTGCCGGAATCTTCCTTTCTCGCCTTCCCGTTGGCTGTCCGCCTCGATTTAGCGTAATTGTTCGACACCTCCGCGCAGCTTCCGTCCGATCCTCCCCCCGGTGGTGCATGTGTTCCACCGACCGTAAGGTTCTCCGAAGCCAACGTATTGCCACACCTCATTGACGACCAATTTAGCCGCCACTGCGTACCGTCCCACAAAGCCTTCTCAAAAGAAAGCGGGAGACTTCTCCTTTCGTTCCTCCATAGACAAATCCCAATTGGACGGCTGTCCATATGCTTCACACTTTTCGACGATGAGCTTGGCCGTTTGCAGCATGTTCGACCACTTCTTGCGGCAGTCTTCACCGGTCCTTTGCTTGAAGCCAACGTCCTTCATCCTGTCATTCACCCATACATACCGGTTTTTCCTCTGCTTGAATCGGTGCTGGCTGTTAGCATCCGCCATAAGGGCATCATCCTCACCCATCAAAATCGCAAGCTTCACCCGCTCGTCCAACGTCCATGGGACGTTTGATTTCTTTTGAGCTGGTGGGCGGCCCTTCGCAGGTCGACCGCCGACCGCTTCACCTCCCACACCCCGACCGTGGACATCACCTTGCCCGCCCATCGAACTTGCCACCATGGGAACGACATTTCCTTGCTCTGCGTGTCCGTCTTCGCCGCCTGCTTCGGAGTCGCCCGTGCCTTCATCGTACGGTGAATCCATGCGAGTCTCGGGGGACACGGACCTTGTGCTCGACCGATTCCAAGAGGCATCTGTGTCAACGCCCTCCGGTGGAGATGGAGAACACCGCACGCCGAGCAACCCCCTAGTGCCCTGGCTGCATTCGGGAGACCAATGCCTGCCACCCATGGGCATGGCCAATGTGTGAGCTAATGGCATGCCGAAACCTGCACCTATGGTCATGCCGTGTTCGCATGCCCTCGCTGCGTACAAATCGAACTGCTGCTGGACAGATAGAGGATGATCACGAACGGCGAAACCGCCGTCCACCCGCATATCCTGTGGCTTTGAACCACCACGCGGAACGCCCGCGGGCATGGTCTCCGTAGACTGCCCAACACAACTTCCACCGAAGGGCGTCGGCGAAGAAGCACCACGTGTAGGGTAGTACGGATGATGTATGGCCGATGGGGACTGACACATGGTGACGAATGATTGCATGCTTTGCACTGGCTGAACTGATGGGACCGTGCATGCAGCTGTCCGTCGTGCATGTCATTACCGCCATCGAATCCGACGTCGGCATCACCCGTCCAGTGTCTGCACTCCATCGCCCACCTGCTAGCTTCAACGAGGGGCAAACGGTCAGGAAAGGAGGCACCTTTCGCCACACCCGTGCCGGGGTCGACTACCGACGCCTGGACAGAAGCACAACGACAACGAACATAACGACTGTGGACAACACCAACACCCCTACTATGAAAATGAGGAGGAGAACAACTGCTGCGCCCACATGGGCCACAACGAACAGTGATAACCCTCCTGCACGCCCTACGCCGCACCCGTTCTCCACAATGACAATGACAGGACAATCCGTGACAGAACACCGCCGACACCCCCCAAGAGCCGAATGTGCAGATGGAGCCGTGCCCCGTCTGATAACCACATGCCCTGTATTGATGTGCTGATGCTCGGCGGGAGGACTGCGGACCTCCACTACCGAATTCCACAACGGAGAACCGCCACTGCTGACTGGTAATCGCGTGGAGTGAACGGCAAAGGACGTAGAAGCGGGCGTGCGTGAGACCACCCTTGGAGCAAACGACGGGACAGTCAAAGAAACCACCACGTCAGCATACCCACTTCCACGAAAACAAGCTCGTGCAGCTGCCAAGTCCCGAGCTGAACACAAGAGTCTGCTGCAGCGTTCGAACCGCAGCGAAGGCATCCGAATGCGTCCAATGACAACTCCACATACCACGAACGTGCTACATGGCAGCACGTCGGACTGAAGCCTCACGATCGTGACGAGCAATGTTCTGGAGCAATCGCATGGCAGATCGACGTTCCACCCAGCGTGACTTCGAAGAAGACAACCACGGACCACGAAGGGCAGGAACACGCAATTCCGGACACGTGAACGACAAACAGTGTGATGGACTGTCTGCCTCGTCTCCGCCCCAAGTACTCGTTGCGGAGTTCGAAAAACCCGTTAACGCACCGCCGAAATTTGAAATGCGTGTTCTCGCGATTCACAATGCAGCGGGACCAAAGCAGGGGAAACCACCTCCGGGGACCACGAACGGACACTTTCAATTTCTCATGCGACACGCACGTCATTCGTGCGGTCTCGTCCTGGATCAAACGTATGTCCGCGAAGCCCGTTCACTGCACCACTCCTCGCCGGCCTCCGACGCCACCGGCTGGCGCTTTGCCCTCCCTACCCTGTTGGAGGGCGTTTTCGAAAAGAGCGCCGGCCGCGGGCGGGAACTTTTCCAACCGCCAGCCATGTAGAAACACGACTGGCGGTGTTTTGGAAACGACAGTGGGGTCTGAAATCGACGTCGGCAGACCTCTAAAAGACTTCCTGGCGGCCCAGTGGGGTCCGAAATCGCCCTTCCACGCCAAAATTTTTCCAGCCGACGGCCAGTGGGGTCCAAGCCTAAGGCAGAAAACTGAAAAATAAAACTGAAAAAAAAACAAAAATAGGCAGAAAACCAGAACTCATAAGGTCTGCAGAAAAGGGCCAAAGTAAAAGCCTCCACTTCAGTTTGTTTTTCTGCATAACATATATGTATTCCTGGGACCTTCCCTGGTCCTTGCACGACTGGGCCACCTGGGAAAACACGGTGCCCTGGGTGGCACGGCTGGTAGCCTAGCTCTGAATGCAATTAGGAGATGTCAGACCAACACTACTAACCCTGCTCCTGACCTCCCAGGGGCGGTAGAACTAATGGCGTGTTAACTTATGCAAGGCAAGGTAGACCCTCGTGCAGCACAAAATGAACAGAAGGGTGGAATTCAAAACGCAAAAAGAGTAATCCCCCTGTCCAAGCTGCTCCCCACCAATAGACTGGAGCCATCTGGTAGCCTAGAGTCACAGTTCATTTGACCCCCCTCCCTTTGCTCACCCCTTGGTTGATCTCCCCAACTCCGGTCAGAGTGCTTAGTGATGTAGAGAGACCTCCCTTTGCTCACCCCTTCGGGAGATCAACCGAGGGGTTTGTTGTGTTGAGAAACGCTAGTACCGCTCCCAACACCACCCCCTAGCCAATGCTTAAAAAAAAAAAAAAAAAAAAAAAAAACCTACTCCAGCTGAAGTAGGACAACCTGAAATTAATTTTCCAGCGCGAAAGAAACACTTCCCTTTTCCT